TTTTCACTTCAATGGTCACACAATTTTTTTTAAACATCAATTACACAAACTAGTCTAGTACTTCACTAAAGTTTTAACTTCAATTATTTTATATTATGTTGTCCAGAATCATCCATGTTCAACAAATACATTTGACCTTTTGTTGTCCAGAATCATCAAAGACTTACATTTATTTTGAAATATATACCCTCAATCAAGTGATTTTATATGCTTGTTTAAAATTCTCACGTCAAGCATACTGTTAATTATCTTCCACACGGCTGCTGAACGGTGTGTTTCCTCGTAGTTTCGTATTGTGCATACATGAATTGTTCCGTGTTTTGATTACATAACATATTTTTCTTTATGATTTAGACTTATGTTGTTTTGTCCAACTTTATATTCTTTAAATAGAATTTTGCTGGTGTGCCAGAAGAGGTGCACCCACCTGGGTGATCGACCCTCACAAGAGGGTGGGACCCACGTGTAATAAAAAATGAAAAAAAAAAAAGGCCCCACCACCTCCCAATGTATCTGTCTTGTCAAGGAGGGTGTCACACCTTTCCTAGCACTACAGCACTTCTCCTTTAAATATTGTTTTTTAATAATGACACTAAAATGTCAAATTTCAAATATGAAAAATAATAATCAACATATATAAATTTGGATTGGATCTCTCTCTCTCTCTCTTAAAAAGATTGACAAAATTTAAATAACTCATTCTATGAGAAATTAGATTTCTATCCTCAAAACTTACCATTTTATTGTGGCATTTAAAGCGTAGCTAGAGTTCCCGTGCTTAGATAATATTTTAATTTATTTTTCAATATGTTAAATAATGAATTAGACATTGAAGGACCTATTGAGCACTTGTAAATTACAATAATAAGATCGACGTTAGGTCCTGGAGGAATTCAACATTTTCAAGATTAATTGGACTCGGGTTCAAATTCTGAAAATGGGAAATCACAAATTTGAATTTAATTTAATGTTTTACGTTGTAATTTTAGTTGGGAAAGAATCTCCCAAATGCACAACAAACGGTGAAACAAGCAAACGAGCAAAAACAGAAAATTTTCGAAAATTACAAGAAAATGAGACTTACTAACTCAATGAACTTCACAAAACAAGAGTTTCACCACCCTCTAAACTTCTTGTTTGGAGCCTAAGTTTATCGTTGTGTGGAACCATTACATGGATCGACCATGTTTTTCAATTTTGTCCTAATTTTTAGAAATTTCATACTTGCAATTTCGGTTTTACCCCAATTCCTTATAGTGATTTTATTGCTTTTGGTGTATAGAATTAGGATTTCAAACTTTCAATACTTCTTCCTAAACACAATTAAAATGCTCAACGTACTACTGAGTGAGTTTCATTCATTATTTTAATGTCACTTAAACTTGATATTTTGAGTGTCTTTGAGCAATTTAGAATGTTTTAATGTGTTTGTTCGTGTTGTTTTATAGATAAGGTAGATTGGTGTAAATGGTAAAAGTTGAAGTTTGAAGGAATCTAAGGCTCCGTTTGATTCGCTATATTTTTCATGGAAAATTCTATTTTCCAACTTTTATAGTGTTTGATAGGCAAAATTTTCCCGAGAAATTTTTTTCCGCATTTTCTCATTTTCCACCTTCTTGAGGAAAATA